ATCTAACTTGTCTGAAATAAAACGCAGTATGCAAAAGCCTCCAGTTCCTCTACATCCACCGAAAACTAACAACGTGTGGTGAAGGAAAAGGCAAAGCATAAGTAGAAATGGTCGATAATTTACACAAAACTATTCGATTACACAAGCAAACAACTAGACATGAAGTCATAACAGAAGGATGTCACTGAGGATGGTGAGACTCGATGAACACTATATCTCTAGTCGGGGAAAATCCAGAAAACAAAATTTTTTTTCAATAATTTAACTTCTGAGATGTAGCTCGCCTTGCAGCTATTACACTTCCGGAATGAAAGTAATTTACGAGAAATTTCAGTAATGTATATTAAGCTGCTACTACAGTGAACTCGGTTTCGATTTCACCAGCGCGGAATACGTTTTCCATAGCGAAATGTACGGAACTATTGAGCAGCATAAAATGAAAGCAATTACTTTCTTCTCATACAGTAACGTTCCTCTAACAACGGCACAAGGATGAAAGTCGAATAACAAGGCCAATTTCATTTGTCGAGCATATGACAAGTCGGCTGAGAATACGGCACAATACCTATTTGCGCAATCGTACCAAATACCTAGAAAGTTGCTCGAACAAACAACGATTTCTAATAACAGACAGGAAGAAGGAACATGAAGGACCTGAAGGAACAGATGAAGCAAACGCATGACATTTGACGTGTAGAAAATCAGTACTCAGATCTCTCACGGCAAGAGTTCAAAGTACGAACCGCATCGAGCAAATCGTTAACGAAGTGATTTCCCTTGTTTACAATATGCTAGAGGGTAACATTAAAAGGAATCTCCTGCCAGTCAAAAAGCTGGCAAATTCCCCATTGGCCCTGATAGCCAATGTAATCGTTAGTAATTCTCGGTGGACCTTCACATTGATAGGGATGCTGCCCCTTTGGTCAAAAGCGCGTCAGAGAATCGAAATAATTATTAAATGACGGCATTGGGATGGTTACCATTTTAAAAATGACAGATGTCTTCTAAGGCCCGAATTTCTAACCCTGACAAGTAATACTGATAGGAAATTTCTACAGTCATTAAAACCAGATTAGTACAACTGCGAACAAACGTTGTATACTCATATACCTCATGACAAAAGTCTCATCTGACAGTGTAATGGTAGCAGTTACAGTAAACAAGTACTCCAGCGCAACTATATACTGATGTAAAGGCATCCCGCGAAAAGTCTGCATATGGCACATACATATGTGAATGATTTTAGTTTCAGTAATAAATCCCCACTTACATTAAAATAAATTTTTTTGTTTGAATAAATGTCAGTAGTGCTTACTTCTGCAGGTGGTGTATCTTCTGAAGTACTTTCAAAAGGAATGAAGCACTGCTTCAATATCAAATTTTTTAAATGATTTGCTGAAAAAAAGGAATTTTTTATTTAGAGTTAAAATAAAATGGATTGAAGAGTGGCCAAGTTCCAACCCGAAATAAGATCAGCAACGATGACGCATCTCGTTATGGTGAACCACCTGCAGGAAAGACCAAGCTTGATACCGGTTCTGCTTTAGATGACCAGGCTTTACGGGAACGCGGATTGGTTCGTAGCTGGAGCTCGATGAGGAGAGGGGGAGACAAATATAGCAGCACTTGTCAATCCGTTTAAATTTACTTTCACTGTAAATTGCATAAAAACTATTCATATATTTAAAATAATAATTTTAAATTCAATTTTAAACCAGTACTTCGTTCAACTTAAAACTTCCTCGGAGGGCACGATACTCGTTTCAGTAAAACCAATATGTTCCGATTCAGTCGTTTATACATTTTCCAAGCTTAAATTCGTACATGTCATATAAACTGGTTATAAAGACGTAGAAATCTGAATATATCTACAATCTATGTATTTGTGGAGACTGAAATACATCAGTTTATTTGGTAATTTATTTTTAAAAAAATGGTAAATAATACATCACAATGGTTCTAGACAACATTGATTTATTATCCAAGGGTGCCAATTTTTGACACCGCAAGCAAAAACAACAATCTCCTGTCAACTTAATGGACCTATACGGCGTAGTTAAACCGTTGCCTTGCTTCTAGTAGCCAAGGGATCAGGCGGATGACGGCTACATGGTACTTGAATATCTTCTGTGTATGGATGCATAGTCACATCGCCATGCAGAGTCGGACAAAATATAAGGCTGCTAAAAATATGGCTGCTAAAAACAGCAACGGTAGGACTACACCTTGCAAAACCGAACAACTCACGAGAGTACATATTTATATTTTCAAAGTAAAAAATGGCAAACAAACCTTGGTGGCTGAATCCACATTCGCCCCTTGCTTGAGCAGTTCGGCAACAACGTCCACATGACCCTCTTTGGATGCCAGATGCAACGCGTTCAGGCCGTTCTGCAAAAAATACTTTTATTAGAAACACATAACGTAAAAAGCAAAATAAACAAGCATGAAACTGATATAAAAAAGACTGTACGAACCGCGTTGCATGTGTTTATGTCACAGCCGGCCTTCAGATGTTCCTGAACCTTGTCGATGTTTCCCGCACGAGCGGCTCGAAGAAAGCTGGCGCTAGTTTCGCCCTGAACAAAAATCTAGCGTCAAAAAAACCGTTGAAGCACAAACCAACACTGCACATGAAAGCACGTATGACTCACAGGCTACAATAAAGAAATATGGAGGACGATGTAGAAAATGACGACGACTGGCTACTGCGAGAAAGAAATGTCGAGAAATTCTTCTGAGCACTTTTAGACACCGACTCGGTCAAAGAAGCCACGATTAGGTGTCGCAACTTCGGAAGAAATGAACAATACATTTTCTTGCTCTGTGAATACCCGAGTTTTTGAGTTTTGCAATACAGTTTCGCGACCGTTAGTCTGGCTGCCCTAGAGCATTATTTACACGTGGATACGCATCTGCATGTTGATACGGATTTGCATCTGCATGTTTGTGCAAACTCCGCAAGAGCAAATACCGCTACGTGGAGGGGGCAGTACAGTAGTTCACTGAGAAACACTAGAACCTAATTAGAAGAAGCGAAAAGCAAACGGAAACCATATCCAAAACCAACAAAGCAACTGCTATGTGTATGCAGTAGTCAGAATCTCTTTCGAGAATCAGAACACAACACGCGCAGTATTCCCTAGAAACAATGACAAGGAGTCAATCAAGAAAGCATATAAACTACGCAGTATGTCTAGCACGAAAAAGAATTTTTGTGCATACATATATATAAACATATATATATCTGTCAAACGCAATTTTGGTTCGTCTACATGCCCAGGAATTTGTTGTTG